CGTTCATCTACGAGTGCAACAAACTGCAACGGCAAACTGCAACTGGCAAATGCTAATTTTGGTCTGTCTGCATTGTTTTGTATTTTCCAGCTCTTCGATATGAAGAAGTTCCAATCGAACGTAAATCGTGAGCTGCGCCGTGCCTATCCAGATCGACGACGCTTGGAGACGCAGTGCCTGTCGGCCGTGGCCTTTGTCAAATCGGAGAGCGATGTCTTGGAGTGCCCCATTTGGGTGCTCATTGTGAATGTGGTAGCCATGGATATGCTTAAGAGCAAGCTGCCACCAGGTGAGTGAACACACAATACACATTTACATACATATGCCGTAAGCACTCACACCACAAACTTTGCCGCCAAACACTATTTGCCCGCCGAGAACTCACTATTTTGCGCCGCGTCCTGCATTGTCAGTGCTAGGAAACTATTGAAGGCTTAGACTTGTGATTTAGCCATGTTGTTTCGGGATATGCAGCACATTTTCATTTACATTTAATAAGCCAACAACAAAAACAAAACAAAAAGTGAATCTTATATTGGTTCGCTCCTCAGAGGAAGAAGAACTAGTTCCGATACTCCTTGTGCTGAACGATAAGTTAAGTTCTATCAGCTGCTTGGTCCCGTTATAAACTGTTGCTGTGCGAAACACTCGGAACACTCTAACACTATTCTCCTTTTAATTACCCTCTAGTTCAACGCCCCATTGTGGACATTAAGAATCGCCCGCGCATACCCATACCCGATGAGGATCCCTACAGCGTGGCCGGCAATGGCAGCGGCGGCAGTTCGGGCAGCTCCGGATTTGGCAGCGGCCACCAGCAGCAGGCGCATGCACAGCAGCTGGGGAAGCACCTGAATAACGGCAATAACGGACATGTGGCAGCCACGCGGGAACAGCTGCTGCTGCAGACGCAACAATTGGCCCACAAACGCAGCGAGAAGCCGCCCAAGCTGCCGCCCAGGGACAATGTCTATGCACACGATTTGATTCCAAAGGTAAGAGAGGGATGGGATCCCCCAACTGATTGCCCAAGCAGAGTCGTTTGCTATCAAGTGTTGGGTACAAATTTGGCAGCGTTAAAACACAAATAAAGCAAACCGTAGAGAAGTGTGGCAACTTGGTTAGCAGTGGAACCGCGCCACAACGAGGCTAGTTAGCCAGCCAGCCAGTCAGCCACCCTGCCTGCCTGCCCCCATGCTTGGTTACATGCACAACGCGGCCACTTGCAAAATGGGTCTCCGATTCCACACAGCTCCCGCTACGGCTCCAGTTCTGTCCTCTGTCTGGTGTCCGGTGTCTGCTGGTCGGCGGGCAGGTGGTTAGACGTAGACATACCAGGCCACTGGCGAAGATTTCGCCGTTGAGCTTCACTGGCCAATGGCCGTTTCGTTGCATTCAATAATATTCGGATTTCAGCACTTGGGCTCCGTCGACCAACAAATAACTGCAAACGAATCGCGTGTAATTAATATGCGCGGAATGCTGTTGCCGCTGCTCGATTGCTCGCATTGCTCGACTGGTGGATTGCCAATCGGGCCCAACGACCGCGTCAGTGCCAACAGCAAAAGGGGCACGGAGTTATGCGGAGTTTTTGAGCCACCTTGCGCAATTTGGAGCTGCATTTGAGGTCTTTAGCCAGCGGAATATACATATGATTGTCTACATAATAACCGAAGTACCATGGAAAATATCATTCTGATTCTGATTCCACTTTCCATTCATTTCACAGCCGGACTATGATGACATTGATTTGGAGACACGCATCAAATTGTCGCGCGGCAAATCGGACAAGGGCAAGGACAACAAGAAATACGGTAAGAGCCCAGCACCCCCACTCCACGAATAGCAAACAAAACTGAGCCGCACTTTCCAATTCCACAGATGATCCCTACTATTGTGGACTGCGGGCACGAGTGCCCAACTTTGTCAAGTCGGGCAAGAAGGGCTCGGGCCAAGGACTCAAGGATCAACGGGATGGCAATGGCAACAACATTAACATCATTAACAATAACAACAACAGCAACGGAGGCATGAGCACGCTCAGCCAGAAGAAGACCTCGATGATACACAACCATTTGGCGGGCATGCATCCACATCACATACAGCAGCAGCAGCAACTGATGGCCGCCGCGGCAGCCGCCCATGCTGTGCACCACCATCCTGGTCATCAGCAGCAGCAGCAGCAGCAGAATCATCACCATCAGATCTGGCAGACGCGCAGCTATGAGAGTGGCATAGGTATTTATAAACAGGGCGTGGCTAGCACGCCGCACCACAAAACGCACGCAATGCAAATGCAACTGCAACTGCAACAACATCAGCAACAACAACAACAACCACAGTCACTGCCGACGGACCTAACAACAGCAACAACAGCCAAGACACAAAGCACACCCCACAAAGCACGTAGCCAGCAGCAGCAGCAGCACCACCACCACCACCAACACAACTTGCCACCGCAGACCCGCACTCCGCACTCGTATCCGCACGCACATCCGCATCATAAGCACCATCACAATCACAGTCACATGCATCAGTGCGAGCGGCATGCGCGCCACCTGCCGCCTAGCCAGCCCACCCTTCCACCCTTCTATGATAATCTGGAGGAGTCTGTGGGTCGCCGTCTCTCCACCCGCCGCCCGGTGGCTGAGAGCGCGGCCGGTGCACCCTGCAACTGTGTGAGCTGTTATGCATTGGCCCCGCTCTGCGGATCCGTGCCGCCGCCACGTCCCCAGCGAAGTCTCAGCCAGCAGCAGCTGCGCCGGCATCAGCAGCTGAGCGGCAGTCTGGTGGAGAAGCAGACCGGTGTGGTCAAGTGGTGCAGCGAGAGCGACATATCGGTGCTGGAGCATGTGCAGGAAGAAGACCCGGCGGCGACAATGACGGCCAACACACTGCTGACCCAGGACGAGCGGTACGATGACTGCTACGAGTACGACGACTTCGACATGGACTTTGACATTGACGACGACCTTACAGCTCGCATGGGCTACAGCCGGGGAACGGAGACGGTGGACATGTACGTGGATCGGGCACAACTGCGCCAGATCCAAGCGCCCGCCGTGCTGGCCAGCTCGCGCAACAAGTCCCAGTCCACCGAGAGCTTCTTCGAGCAGCCGAACGAAGAGGGCTCCCTTTATATGTACGGCGGACGCAAGCGCATTGTGGCCAAGGCACCGTCGGCAGCCAACATCTATGATCGGGTGCGCGGCTCAATGGATCCCGACAGGGGCTATGCGAATGGCAGGTTCAATTTGGCAGCCAGGACACAACAGTACCACAACAGGAGCAGCCACAAGGCGCCGGTACTGCCATCGCCCAGTTGGCGGGGCGGCAAGCGACAGCAGCAGGAGGCAAAACATTTTCAAAACTCTGACAAACGACGATATGACAATGCAACGAACAACAGCAGCAACAACAACAGCCACAACAACATCTGCAGCAGTAGCAGCAGCAGCAACAAGAACAAAAGACAGTTAACGAACAGCAACAAAAACAATGACGACATCTTGAAAAGCAAAAATAATTTCAATAGTAAAACCAAAAGTATAGCAACATCAGCATCAGCCCAAGCCCAAGCAGCGAAAGCGACCACAACAACAGCATCTAGCGGTGGAGCAGTAGCAGCAGCATCAGCATCAGCAACAATGACCACTAATGCCAGTGGAGGAGCAGTAGTTGCAGCAGTAGCAACAGCAGCATCAAAAAAAGCATCACCAATACATGACCCACCAACAATAGTGAACAATGCCCAGGCGGCGGCAAATGGACTGCATGGGCTGCCACCTCCCCCAGCTGCCAGAACTGGGCGCAGTGCCAGCCGCCTTGACATCAGCGACATGGAGTCCATTTATGGCTACCTGAAGCCACGCAAGCCGCGCAGTCTCAGCCTGAAGAAAATTCAAATACTCGACTATTGAACGAACGCATACGCATACGTTTACTGAAAGAAAAAACAAATGAGGTTATTTTGGCATAGACAACGTCGATTTCTCTTATTGTTTTTTGTGGGTTACCCCTTCGGATTGGTTGCTGTACATATAAATACCATACCATAGATAATATATAGTTTTTATGTTGCCCAATCAACCAACCTACCCACCAGAAACCTTGAGAACCCGGTGAACAGAACTAAACTGTACGAAATGTTTACTAACTCTTACCTGGACTCCTTGACTCCTGGACAGACACAGCTACAACCATTGTACATACACACACACACACACACAAACATTAATATCTGCTTAAATGATATAGGGAATGCTTATTATATTTGGTGTCTGTATCGCTTTGTAATATTTGATCTCTGTGCTTCTTGTAGATTCGGAGCTTGTTGAATCACCATACAATCACATCTATGGCCGCCATTTACCGCTGCCCACGCGCGGATATGTGCCCACACCACGCATGTTTATCGGGGAATGGGACTGATGCGATTTATGGCACCCGGCGAGAGACCGACACGACACACATTTGCACATGAGCAGCCGCCGCCGCCGTCTAGGAGTGGAGCAGCAGCAGACCCAGCACAAGGCACAAAAAAAAAAACATTTCGATTAGTTGTACAGCTAAGCAATCCGCTGGATGCCTGCCAGGCGGCGGCGACAGCAGCACTAATTTAAGTCAACCCAGCAACAAGGAGCAAAAATTATAATATACATTACATTAATTTAGCAAAATATTAATGGTAATACTTATAATATTAGCCTAGGCGTAAGCAAAGCAAACCAAGCACAAACCATTCTAATGTTTAGTTATGCAACAGACATTTCGCCGTATGTGTTTTTTCTGTAGATGTTTTGAGATTATGCACTTCACATTTAACATTTGCAATCAACAAAAACATAAATTGTTTTTCTTCATGATACGAAATGAATAGCCATTACATAGCGTGGAGATCGTGGAGAGAGAGAGATCTTGAGCAGCAGTCTTTAAGTTCAGTTAAGAATTTTGTACATTTTTCGTTTGCCAGCAATCAATTCAGAAATGAATTATTTGAATTTGCAGGCTGAATTGAATTTTATTCTATATCAAAATATTCTGTATTGTGTACTATGAACAATAATAAAATTATCTTCAAGAAAATAAAGGTCCATTTCATTCTGATTTTCATTCCAAATGTTTAAAGTGTGTGTACTATGGATTATAAAATATTGATATATCTGGCACTGCACTGCGACGACTTCATTTACAAATAGTAATCGGAGTCCCAGTTGGGTGGGCGCATGTGATCTGGATTGGGACCGCGGTTTGGTATGTTCGGATCGTTGGGCCCGAACGGATCGAAGCGCGGAAATGGCATACCATTTCCAGGCAGACCGGGACGCGAGGGAAACGTGAATAGATTACCAGGACCACCGCGACCGAGTGGGTCCAGGTCCCCGCGACCGATGTCCGGGAAGCCAAAAGGACGAGGCTCATATCCTCCGGGCGTAAATGATCTGAGGACGAGGACAGACATTGTAATACGACTGCGGGACATCCAGCTATTTGCCAGTGCCTTACCCGCCACGTCTTGGTTCCCCTATGCGCAATGGATCCGCTCCATTGGATCGCTGTGGCTCTGTGCTGGTCTGAGTCGTCACTTCGCACGAATTACCTGTAAAAACCGGGTCCAACAACTCCTTGCGGAAGCGTTCGACAATCTCCGAAGCAGTTGGCATCAATGTACTAATGTTTCCCTTCACAGCGGCAACCAAGTTTTCCGGGTCGATGCAAATATTGGACACCTTCTTGGTATTGATGTCCAATAAATTGAGAAGCAAGTCTTCTTCGGTTATGTGTGCGATAAGCAGATAGAGAACCTTCTCGTGCTCATAGCGCAATGAGTACTTGGTGTCATCGTCGTTCCAGTTGTCGGGAAGCAGCTCACTTCCCACATCCTCCTCTGATAGTGTTTTCTAAACGAATCAACAGGCATCAAAGAAGCATTCATCAGGGTGAATAATACTCACATCATCGCCAATTCCCACGCAGCGAAATTTGTAGTGCTTGGTCAGCAGAAAATGCACCAGAGCTATCAAGACGTCGGACTTCTTGTTGACATCAGCCCGGATCGTCTTAAACAATAGATCCCACCCATAGAAAAAGTCGCCTGTCATTGAAGCTGCTTTGGCCTCCGGAGTTTCCATATTGTTTGGTTGGGCTAGAGTTGAATTTATTTCACATCTGTTCGTATTGATTTAGTTTAGTCACAGCAGATAGATATTACCAAATGCCCCTTTCTTTATTTACAGGTAGAGACGCAATTTGTGAATACTGCTTTGTTTTTTTTATTAATAACAAAGTAAATGTGACCCTCCCCTCAGAAATATACCGAAAGATACCTTATAATGGCAAAAAATACCGTAAATACACCGAGGAAAAATCCGCTATTTATATGCTCGTTATTTCCAAAATGAAAATTAACCATGTATTTTTGGTATGAACATGAACTTCCTTCAAGTTTCATCATTTTCGTAAGAATACTAAATACCCCTCTGGGCCAAACTTTCAAGGTGTGTTACCTAGATAAATGAACTTTTTGCACAAAAATACAACAAAATTTACTAACGCGTCGAATATTCGACATACGTTCATACGGTTAACTTTCGAAACATTTTTGGAACGCAAAAACTCAGGTTTGTAAAATCGTAATTTCCAAAATATATATTTAAAACCAAATATTTGCAACTAACTATAGTTTATATAAAGTAACGTTAAAGAAATATGTCCAGTTTAAAGTGAAGTGTACATATGTTGAAAATGAAATGTGCCAAATAATCGAATACGTTTTGTTTAGGGCAGCAGTTCCACGATCCAGCTCTTACGATCCACACGGCTTTCGAGCTTACCTTAGCAGGTAAGCTGAAAGCTGGAATTAATTACGTTCTTACCACCGAAGTGTACTGTACATTCTGTGAATATAAGTGAAATAATAGAATTGAGGTATTATAATGTGAATATATATATATTGCACCAAAGACTTCTTTTTCTCGTTCTCATCGTTGAATTATTTTCTTAAATCAAATCCACCTTCCCTCCTCCTACTACTTAATATTCCGATCATATCAAGTACAGTGGAATCTCAACAATTACAACAAAGTGTTCCTCGGGTTGTTCTAATTTCTCATTGCTGGACTTTTTTTTTTCACAGAAAAAGATAAAATAACAATAACATTTATTAATTAATTTATTTATTAATATTTAAATAATTAAACATATTCATTTCATAGCAAAACTTTTAAAGTATTTATACATTTTTTAGTCTTCACTTTGAATTTGAGTCAACAACTAACGAAAAATTCGTACAAGCATATCAAATTTCATATGCATATAACCATATACACACCACGAATTACTCGGTGATTCCCGGTTCTATTTTTACTTCAATGAGCAAAATGAGCAATTTTCTGGGCAGTTGAAATTTTTGAGATTCCACTGTATAGGAAATATGTACATATATGTATGTATGTATATACATATGTAAATACATATTTCCCATCATACATTATCTATTAGAGTTGACAACGTGTCGTTGTCGTTGTGTCGTTTGGCATAGAAACTAAGTTCGATCATGATCATTTGTATTCTAAAGTCGTCTTTAAATGTATTAAAAAATACTCTAGGCCCAGTGGGTTAAATTCGGAAGCCGTTAATGTTTGATCGTTTTACCGCGGTCCTTTAACTGTCATGTGAAAAGGGTGGGGCTCGTGTTTATATCGTTTACACACGCGTATATCTACTATGTACTTAAAGAACACTTGGAAAAAACAGCAATAAATAAAGCACAATGAATAAGCTTTGTTTAGATTTCCACATACAAATTTATGTACATACCTGTGTACAAAAAACGCTATCTGCTTTCCAGTCTTCGCACGTACACATCGCAATTAAATCAGTCAAAATACATTTATTAATAAATAACATATATACCAGAAAGTACATGTATGTATATAGACTGTATGGTTAGTGCCAGAACTCAGTGCCATCATTGATCGCTGATCAAGTTGTTCTGGTGAACGCAGCCATTGAAATTTAAAAACTGCTTGAAAACTCAAATACAATAAGCTATGAGTTGCTCAAAATATATGTAAGTAGTAACGATAATAGCAACAATTAAGATACAGAGGAAAAAAATGAAGAAGATCGGAAATCGGGAAGTTCCCGGTAATTCGGCACGGCGAGAATTCGAGATTATCAAGTAAAGATAATGGAAAGAGGATCGTAATATTGTATAACCTTTATGAAATTTAATTTTTTTTGTTTCAAAGTTTTTCGGCTTTATATGTACAATTGTTATCATTGAAATAATAGTGCCGCACCTCATCACTTACAAAACTCTTTTTGAGATATTTCTGTTTATCCAAATTGAACAAGTGATACCTTTACAGAAAGCCTGGCATTAGAAACCCCGTTACATTTGCATTCCATCTTCTTGTTTTTCACGACTTTAGACAACTTCCCATGATATCTGTTGTTAAATGAAATAGTAGTGCTGGTTCATAAAATTTAAAAAAAATGAAAGAAAAAAGCAAACTAATTTAATTTAATGGTCGAAGGCAAGTTCGTAGACGGTCGATTAAACTTTTTTTGAATGCAAGAAGTCCCAGAAAGCTCCGCGTTTCGATCTGAGAGTACATAGGTGCACGACTTCAGTTTGGAAAAACGCATGTGGAATGGTCTGTGTCACAGTGACAAAAATACTTTTGACTGATGATAGTAAAGTTGTATTATATGGTAAGATAGACTCAAAAGATTATGTTTCGCATTCACAGAAATCCGATTACCACCTAAAATCATGAAAAAAAAAAAATAGCATTGGGCATACTATGCTGAGCCTTATGGGGACCAGCTCATATGAGCTAGTACTAGCCTGGCGTTGGAGCATAGTATGGTATTGAGCGAAACAGTGTATGTAGACATACTTAAAAATACATTACATTCATATTACAGTTGAAAAGTTCCTGTTAAAAGTATCTTTCAACCGGATAATGACTTGAAACACCCAAAAAAGCTCGCTAGGAATTGATTTTAATAGGAAAAGATCGACGTTTTACCATGGCCAACTGTTAATCTCATCCAAATCTTATGCTGGAATACCAAATATATTGTTGCAAATGGAAATCCGTCAACCAGAGCAAAGTTTCAGCAAGTGGCTCAAGGATTGGCCAAATCCTATTGAAGCGTTGGCAAAAGATTAATGACCCATGTCCGGCCGATGCAAGTTCGCAATGAAAACCAAATTGATTAAAACCTAAAACTTAAAAATTAAAGCTCAAGAAACATGAAGAGCATGAAATATATGTTTTTATATCAGTTTCCTTTTTTTTCCATTTTCTAAAAAAACACTACTATTTCATTGAACAGTATAATTTCACGGGTATTTCGGCTAACATGACGTAAACAAGAATATGGAATTGAATATGGATATTTCTTCGGTTTTCTAATGCTAACATTCCACTCTATTTAAAAAATTATCACTCGATTTGGATAACTGGAAGTGTCTCAAAAAGAGTTTTGAAAGTGATGAGGTGCGGCACTACTATTTCATTGAACACAAGTGTATATAAAGTATAAAATTGCTGAAGTTGAGTCGTTGAAGATTTTTTCGTTGGTACAATTTTATGTTTGCTGATCAGAGTCCGCGACCCCTGTAGCTACGCATGCATTTGCGATTGGTTATTTTATTAATCGTCTTTGATCTGTTTATTCTATTTCTATATCTATATCATCGATCTGGCAACCTTGTAGGATCATATGTTCTTAGATATGGCTTCAAAACTTGAAAAAGAACCGGCCGGCCAGGTACTAACGGTGAGAAGCAAGAGAACGCGGGCTTTAAAAATGCTTGGCGATTACATAGGTGAGTAAAGATCAATCAATTAATGCACTTGGCGATCAACTTGAATCATTTTAGACACCTCCATACGCATTGTCGGCACGCTATTCCTGGCGGATGTGATTACGCGCCTGGCCCACAGTGTAATTGAGTATTTCAAGTTCCCTCGATACTATTTGCCAGACGATCGTCTGTCGACTATATTGCGGCGTTCCTGTACATACGATAAAAGAATCGCCGTTACATTACTGGGCTTTTTTGTACTGGGACTCATTCGATTGTCTGCAACCGGGAATGGCAGAGCGCTAATTCCAACAGTTGCGTACTTGGCCCAAATGCCGCTGTACTGGCTATTCACGGGACTTGGCAGAAGTACACTAAGCTCTTCCCACTGGATAAGGGAACCACATGGGCTTGACTATGCCTCTGGAATGGCATCGAATTACTTTCATGGCTATTTGAACCTTTCACTGCCCGAACGCAACGGCGACGGCCTCAAGCACCGCATGGCAGTCTATGAGGTAATAGTAGTGCAATCGCTTTTAAATGAATGTGAAACTATTAAACAGATATTCCCTTGCAGGAAACACATAAGATTACGTTCGGACTGGACCGACTGATCATTCTCATGCCAGACGAAATGTTTGTGAAGGGCGTCATCGATAGCGATTTGCTGGAGGAAGTCACAGTAATATGACAAGATATACTGAATTTTCCAACACAAGCTGATCACCTATCTTTTTTGTATAACCTATAGCCATTGGAAACGGTTCATATTCAACGTGCTGGTGTCAACCGACCCTATAAACATGCTGTCTACAAACTTAAACGCGAAATCAATGGTCAATTCTATTACTTTGCCATTGAGGGTGCCACACCAATGTTGTCCTTCTTCGAATCGATGCAGTCGCATATATCGGCCACCTGGCAAATGCATGAAATGAAGCGTGAGATCTGGCTTAAGTTTTACAGGCATTTAAAAGGGCTTTTGGAAACTTGGCCAGAGACCCGCAACTTAGTGGAGCCAATCATCTATAATTGTACGACGATTTTCGTAATTCAATTAAACATTTAATTATAAAAGTCCCATTCATTACAGCACATGATGATAATGATGATCTTGTCGACGTTGGCGAAATTATCATCGCCCACATGGAGAACAAAAAAAAGATCTACAAAAAGTCCGATTGACATAAAGTAACGAAAATCTCTTAGTTTTTAGTTTATGACTGAGCAATGTATCGACGCTCTGGATGACAATTTTCAGCATTTAAAACTAAAGTGAAAAGTTTATAAAATAAATTACTTTACTAACAAGTAGTACAACTGGCTTTCACATGGATATAAAAAGTTCACTCGGGAGGCGAACCAGCAAGGAAACTGTTTATACCTCTACTGGTTGTTCATTTGGTGCCTCCAATTCTCTCAGCTTTGCCTGAGCCATTGCCAGCATTCTCGATTTCCATTTCTCATAATCTTCGATCTCAGGCTTCTGGGACTTCTTCGACTCGCTCGTGAGATTCTCCTTCTGGCTTGCCTTAAGCTTTCCATCCAAATCAGGTGGGGAGACCACTTTGGTCTCCTTGTAATGCTTGGCTATCATGCGCTCCCACTGCTGTTCCAGCTGTTGCCATTGGGTTGGGCGCAGGTTGCTGAAGGGCATTAGTTTTGGCTTTGATACCTTCTTCTTTAGCAGGCGGCAGGCAAGGAAAACGGCCATTGCCGCGTATTGTGGATGAGCAGTGTCAATGTCGGTATCTTCAGAAGAAACTAAGCCCCTGAAGAGATTCATCAACTCCTCGGCTTTGCGAGACACCTCGTTGAGGCTTAGCTGCACACAAATGTCATTTACGCTGACCAATTTATTTAGATCCAGTAGCTTCTCAAACATGCGCTTGTTGTTAAGGTAATGGCTCTTCCGCAGGCCGGACAGCTTCAACGCCTGCTCCTTGTCAAAGCCAATGCCCAGCAGGCAGGATGCTAGATCAGCGCACAGGACGATTTTCCCATACTCGTTTATTTGCAGGGGCACATTTGTCGAACGCAGTTCCAGTAGGCGCACCAACTCCGTGGTTTTCCTGTAAAGGACTCTTTCAGTATTTATTCACAATAAATTGTAATTCTAACTCACTCCAAGACATTCGGCTCTTCCCGCAAGCCCATCTTTCCAATCAACTGTTCAATTAGTGTAGTCATTGCAGTTTACAAAGCGTTTTAAATTTTGTTGTTTATGTTTTCAGTTTGGTCGTAAGATTAGAGATGGGTTAATATTTCGCGCCAGAAACTGACGTCGTAGTCGCACTACGACGAAGCGTATCATAATATTTGTATGGCCTATCGATATAAAACACGCATCTCTATGAAGGTTGCAAGGGGAGTTACCTACAGGGGAGACAAATCAAATAAATAAAACAATCTTGCAAATAAAAGACAAGTTTTAACCCAAATATGTGTATTCATTACGCGAATAGAGAATATAAAATTAATGTTACATTTTTTGGGCCTAGAATTAGATTCACTGCCATACAAAAATTAATGCGCCTCATCGCCGCTGTCATCTTCCTCATTAGCATTTACTCCGGCATTGATGGCCTCCTGGGTCAATCTCTTGGGATTGATTTGATAAATGCCCTCGGTTTCTCTGCCCACTATACCCATTTCGAAACGGAATTCCTTGTCCTTAACGTCATCATGAACGCGGTAGATTCTGGAAAGTTAAGAGCGGTCAATATTGAGCGTATGCGTTGAAGGAAACGAGCAAGTTCTTACATTTCACCGGCCTTTTTAACGAGCTCATCAGTGCTCATATCGACAAATCGTGACTTTTCCATCTCGGTCTTGGCCTGCTGCTTGGCCTTTCCACTGGCGCAGGCAAAGTACCCAAAGTACGAGCCGGATGGCTCAATTTTGTAGAGCTGGGGCCCATCATTTTCATCCCACGAGGCAAGGATAATAGACAGTCCAAAGGGACGGACTGCACTGTACAAAGTGTAGGCATGGACATAGGCGGACACGCGGTCGCATAGGTGCTTCAAAGGAATCACTTGCTCAAACTGCTGACGGTAGTTTGCTGCCTCCTGGCGGGCAATATCAGCCACATAGTTTCCATCGGCCACCAGCCCAGCCACGGCCATGCCAATGTTTTTCTCAATGATGAAAATGCGTCCAGCGGCATCGGGCTCATATAATTTGCTGGTTATTATCTTCTCAACGGCAAGAATGACGCAGTCCTTGCCACGGATTCCTACAACGGTGCCACTCTTCTCCACGGCTTTGGAAGCATAGTCAATTTGGAAGACGCGACCGTCCGGCGAAAACTGCGATGCCGACAAGTCGTACTGCAATACAAGTGCATAAAAATAGAATCTGTCCATTCTAGACGCCATCTTCTACTTACACCAGTTCCAATTGTACTCATTGTGTTGATTTAAATTTTATATGCAAAAAATTAAATTAGAGAATGATTTGACGGCTTTTGCTTTGAGTGTGACCGCGGATTTATCGATCAAACATACCGCCCGACCCTCAGAAACATACCGAAATATACATTGTCATTATCAAAATATACCGTAAATATACCGAGGAAAACTAAACATCTTTAAAACTATCGTTTCTGGGCGATATATGTGAAACTAGTTCGGTTCGTTCATAGATTCAGTGCGCACGCGGTTTTATTTATAAACAACTAAAAACCATGCTTGCGAATATTTGTGAAAAAAGGTAAGTGAAAACTGCAGTAAATCAATGAAAACGTACCAATAAATCTGTGCTTTAGCTACGCGGCTGAGGCCCACTACACAAACTTCTATGGCGGCGGCGACATTGCGTGGAGTTCGGATGGCCAGCACTTTTATTGTCTGAACGGTGTCGCTGTCAACCAAGTCGACGTCCAGACCTCGCAAATCTTGCAGAGCTTCGGGGTAAGCTCCACCACGCCAGCGGAGAACAAAAAGCCGGCCAACTTGGGAGACATCGATGTGGATGAGGATGCGATCACCTGCTTTGCCCTGTCGCACGAGCATTTGGTAACGGCCCATCGCAGTGGATTGCTGCGCCTATGGCTGCTGAGCACCTGCAAACTTGTGAAGCTGTGGAAGGCGCAACACAAGGGGCCAGTCATCAAAATTGAGTTTAGCCCATGTGGAGGGCTTGTATGCACCAGCGGTGGAGCTGATGCCACACTGAGACTGTGGGATTTCGCCAACAACAGCTGCCTGTGCGCCCTAAAAGACTTTCCTGGCCCATGCTGGCTTCTGCGCTTCCATCCAAATGTCTTGCGAAAGGAGATCTTTGCTGTGGGTTCGGATAACACGATTTACTGCTGGAACTATCAGTCCAGGACGCTGCTGCACAAAATGCGCGGACATCTGTCGCAGGTGACCGGCCTGAGCTTCAAGAGTAACGAAGCAGACTGCAATGAGCTGGCTACCGTGAGCCGCGATAAGGTTTTGATCGTTTGGCGGCTAGAAGATCAGGGGGAAAGCAAACAATTAAAGGTGCTGCCGCTGTTTGATGAGCTGGAAGGAGTCGTCTACGCAAACGAGGGCCGGGAGATAATAGTGGCCAGTGGCACAGGAAATCTTCAGCAGGTGGATGCCGAATCCTGGAAGATAAAGAACCTTTTGGCACAGTCTGACTTTCAAATCAGCCGTCTGCTACATTGCAGCGACCTCAAACAATTGGCTTTGGTCACCACAGAACAGAATATAATCGTCTATGATGCGTCCAGTATTGAGCCTGTTAAGCACTTGGTTGGCTACAACGATGAGATTCCTGGACATGTGCTTTTTGGGAGACAACGATCGCTACTTGGCCGTGGCCACCAACAGCAAACACTTTAAGCTATACGATACGGAAAACGATATGAACTGCAAACTGATTGTCGGCCATTCCGACACCGTCATGGCTCTGGCAGCCTCCCACAATCTGCTCATTTCGGTGGGCAAGGATTGTAGCATTCGATTGTGGAAGCTCGAGCATGACAAGGCCTGCTCCTTGGAAGCGCTAACCCAGCAAACCAACTGCCATACCTCCACGATTGGATGTGTGGCCATGACGCACAACGGAGCCACGGGCTTCGCATCCGTGTGCCAAGACGGCAGCATGAAGGTCTGGAACTTGACCAGGGATAAGCAGGAGCGCAACTCGTACACATTCAACCTGCGATATTCAGCTCTGGCCCATGACAAGGAAGTCAATTGTGTTGCGTATGCCGTGAACAACAAAATCTTGGCTACCGCATCGCAGGACAAGACGGCAAAGCTGTGGATGGCCGACTCCAATTCGTTGCTGGGAGTGCTACGTGGGCACACCCGCGGCGTGTGGAGTGTCCGCTTCTCACCCGTCGATCAGGTCGTACTCACATCGTCCTCCGACTGCACGCTGCGTCTTTGGGCGATCAGCAATTTCAGTTGCATAAAACGCTTCGATCAGGAGTGCACAATTCTGCGAGCAGAGTTCCTGGACCACGGAAAGTTTATCATCTCGGCCGCCTCGGATGGCCTGCTCAAGCTGTGGAACATCAAGACCAACACTTGCCTGCAGTCCCTCGATGAGCATACCGATCGTGTCTGGGCTTTGGCGGTCTCTGGTAGAAGCAATCGCTTCTTTTACACGGGAGGAGCTGACTCCAAGCTGATACGCTTTGGCGACGTAACGCAGGCAACGCGCAACGAGGCTCTCGATCAGCGTCAGGAGACCCTGGAGCAGGAACAGACCTTGCACTCGCTCCTCCATGCACAGAAGCAGCTGCACAAGGCCTTTGTCCTGGCCCTGAACTTGAACAAACCAAAAACCACCTTCGACATAATAGTCCACTTTGTGCGAGAGCGTGATGAAGCCGGTCTCCGTCAGCTAGTGGATCAACTGAATGTGGACCAGCGTGTGGCGCTGCTTCAGCACGTTAAGGCCTGGACCACAAACTCGCGAAACTCGCACGCTGGCAATGTAATCCTAAAGCATCTGATTGGAGATGCTCTGCTGGATCCTAAGGCACGATTCTACAACAACGGCAACATGGTGGAGGTTCTCACGCCCTACGTTCAGAGGCATTTCAAGAGGGTCACCGAATTGAACAAGGACCTGGCGTTTCTGGAGTTCATTGTCAAGTGCATGTAGAGCCTAGGATCGAGGATGTGGTTCATTGGATTATATTCAAAATTGAAACTAATTGTATAAACCTTTTTTAAACCATGTAATAATTGCTACTCTGCAATCTGTTGCGACATTCTAGAGAAATTTCGTATGATGTTCTTTAAATAGAGTAGCGAAAAATCGTAGCACATAAGTTAGTTGGTAATGAATTCTGTTTAATTATTTATAAGCAATGAGAATCAAGCAAATATATTTTTGTTTAACATTTATTTCAATATAGATATTAACATTTATAACCACTTACGTACGTATTGGAGGAGGGGAATTTCGACAAATCTTAAATTCAAAAAGTCGTACAAAAATTTCATTTAAACGAAACTAAAAGTGCGTGTGTTGTGTGTGTGTGTGTGTTGGGGGATCAAAGAACAAGATGGTCTTGACGTTCCAAGAACTATCATGAATATACATACAACATACTCGTACACTTGGAGCGCCTGTGCTCCCTAACTATAGTTTCTCAGATACAGATATACTAGATACACATATAAAAAATAGATACACAGTCAGGGCAATAGGTGGTTTGGTGGCAACTGACGAGAATCCCTAAGATTATCACTGTTCGACTTAATGTTACAATAGGTGTGCGCTGGCAGCATGGACAATGGACATTCTGAGCCCTGGGCATCGGGCGCGATGAGAGATGGGGGATGTTTACTCAATGATCATAAGCAGATCATCGCCCTCGAGCTTCATGCCGTTTGCGATCTCCAGTTTCTTGACAATGCCCGCCTGTGGTGCCTGAACAACCATCTCCATCTTCATGGCGGAGAGCACAACCAGGGGTTGACCCTTCTCGACCTTATCGCCGACCGCAACGCGAATGTCAATGACGGTGCCGGGCATGGGGGCTCCCACCTCGCTCTTGACCGCCTTATTGGCCTTGGGATGAACGTGGATTTCCTGAAAAATACAAAAAGAGGTAAAATTAGTAAGATTCCAATATCTATTGGAGTCTTTACAAACTCACCTTGACCGCCTCCTTGTCGAGAATGTGAACTGTGCGCAGCTGGCCGTTCATCTCGAAGAAGACCTCGCGATCTCCATTGGGCTTGAGATCGGCGGCCATGGCCATGGCCTTCAGACTCAGCGTCTTGCCGCGCTCCAGCGTCACCTCGAACTCCTCGCCCACCTTCGGTCCGGTGAGGAAAATGCGCGTGTCCAGTTTGTCGACGGGTCCGAACTTCTCGCGGAAGAACAGGTACTCGTTGGTCACCTGGGGATAGAGAGCCGCCGACATGACGTCGCGCTCGGTGATATTGGCGTGAGATTCCTTCAGGTCCTCCTTCAGCTTGTCAAAGTCCAGTGGTTCCAGCTCGGCGCCTGGACGTCCCTCGATGCGTGGCATATCCTTGAGCACGCGGGAGCGCAGTGGTTCGGGGAATCCGCCATGGGGAATGCCAATGTGGCCCTGCAGGAACTCCACCACCGACTTGGGGAACGACAGCTCCTCAGCCCTCTCCAGCACCTGATCGGCGGTGAGGTTGTTCTGAACCATAAACTGGGCCAAGTCACCGACCACCTTGGACGAGGGAGTGACCTTGATAATGTCACCCAACAGCAAATTCGCCTCGCGATACGCCTTCTTCACATCCTCGAAGAAGTCGCCCAGACCCAGAGAGAAGGCCTGGAACTGCAGGTTGGTGTACTGACCGCCGGGTATCTCGTTCAGGTACACATCGGCATTGCCCGACCGCATGGTCGTGGTGCACTCAAAGGGTGCGTAGAGGGTGCGGGTCTGCTCCCAGTAAGCGGAGTACTCCGACACATCGCGCAGATCCACTCCGGTGTCCAGAGTTGTGCCCTGCAGCGAGGCCACCACAGCACCCATGCTCGGCTGAGAGGTCATGCCACTCATCGAGTCAACGGCCACATCGACCACATCAGCGCCAGCCTTGGCACAGGCCAGCATGGATGCCACTCCCGCTCCGGAGGTGTCGTGGGTGTGGATGTGGATTGGCACATCGGGATGCTTGTCACGAATGGCAGTGATGAGCAGTCTGAAATGGAGCAAAAGATAGGTCAACGTCCATGACTCGGGAAGGTTCCTCGACTTACTTGGCCGCCTCGGGCTTCAGAAGACCCGCCATATCCTTGATGCAGAGCACATGGGTGCCGGCCTTGACGAGCTCGTCGGCCAGATTGGTGTAGTACTTGAGGTCGTACTTGGTGCGCTTGGGATCGCTCACATCGCCGGTGTAGGAGATGGCCGCCTCGACCACACCGCCAGCCTTGCCGGCCGCCTCCATGCCAAGGATCAAGTTGGGCAGATAGTTGAGGGAATCGAACACTCGGAAGATGTCCATGCCGGTTTGAACCTGCGGGCCAAAAACAAAGGGCAGGATTTAGGAACAGTTGT